TCTGTTTAGACTGGTTTAGTCCTGGTTTAGTTCTGGTTTAGACTGGTTTTAGCCTGGTTTAAGACCTGGTTTAGTCCTGGTTTCCTGGTTTAGATCTGGTTTAGTCCTGGTTTAAGTTGACCTGTTTAGTCCTGGTTTAGACCCGGTCTAGTCCTAGTCCTGGTTGGCTGGTTTAGTCCTGGTTTAGACCTGGTTTAGTCCTGGTTTAGACCTGGTTTGTCCTGGTTTTAGTTCCTGGTTTAGTCCTGGTTTAGTTTAGTCCTGGTTTAGACCTGGTTTAGTCCTGGTTTATCCTGGTTTAGACCCGGTCTAGTCCTGGTTTAGTCCTGGTTTAGACCTGGTTTAGTTTAGACCTGGTTTAGTTCTGGTTTAGTCCTGGGTTTAACCTGTGTTAGACCTGGTTTAGTCCCTGGTTTAGTCCTGGTTTAGTCCTGGTTTAGACCTGGTTTAGTCCTGGTTTAGTCCTGGTTTAGTCCTGGTTTAGTCCTGGTTTAGTCCTGGTTTAGTCCTGGTTTAGATCTGGTTTAGTCTGGTTAGTCCTGGTTTTTAGTCCTGGTTTAGTCCTGGTTTTAGTTAGACCTGGTTTAGTTTTACCTGGTTTTAGACCTGGTTTAGTCCTGGTTTAGTCTGGTTTAGACCTTTAGTCCTGGTTTTTTAGTCCTGGTTTCCTGTTTAGACCTGGTTTAGTCCTGGTTTAGTCCTGGTTTAGTCCTGGTTTAGTCCCTGGTTTATCCTGGTTTAGACCTGGTTTAGTCCTGGAGTCCTGGTTTAGTCCTGGTTTAGTCCTGGTTTAGACCTGGTTTAGACCTGGTTTAGTCCTGGTTTAGACCTGGTTTAGTCCTGGTTTAGCGGTTTAGTACCTGGTTTGGTTTAGTCCTGGTTTAGTTCTGGTTTAGACCTGGTTTAGACCTGGTTTAGTCCTGGTTTAGTCCGTCTGGTTTAGACTGGTTTAGTCCTGGTTTAGTCTGGTTTAGACCTGGTTTAGACCTGGTCTGGTTTACCTGGTTTAGTCCTGGTTTAGTCCTGGTTTAGTTTTAGTCCTGGTTTAGTTGGTTTAGACCTGGTTTAGTCCTGGTTTACCTGGTTTAGTCCTGGTTTAGACCTGGTCCTGGTTTAGACCTGGTTTAGACTTGGTTTAGTCTGGTTTAGTCTGGTTTAGTCCTGGTTTTGGTTTAGACCTGGTTTAGTCGTCGTTTTCAGTCAGAGCCTCAAACTCACGTCTGAATTAAAGGAGAAACTGAACTTGACTCATGAAAAGATCAAACAACAAAGACGTAAAAATGGATAAAGAAGTAAAAATATCAAGAGGAGGAGACGGGAGCAGAAGTGCAGGAGCTTCACGAGGAGCTTCACGAGGAGCTTCAGGAGGAGCTTCACGAGGAGCTTCAGGAGGAGCTTCACGAGGAGCTTCGAGGAGCTTCGAGCTTCAGGAGGAGCTTCACGAGGAGCTTCACGAGGAGCTTCACGAGGAGCTTCAGGAAGCCACGGGAGCTTCACGGAAGCTTCAGGAGGAGCTTCACGAGGAGCTTCAGGAGGAGCTTCACGAGGAGCTTCACAGGAGCTTTCAGGAGGGAGCTTCAGGAGGAGCTTCACGAGGAGCTTCACGAGGAGCTTCGAGGAGGAGCTTCACGAGGAGCTTCAGGAGGAGCTTCACGAGGAGCTTCACGAGGAGCTTCACGAGGAGCTTCAGGAGGAGCTTCAGGAGGAGCTTCACGAGGAGCTTCACGAGGAGCTTCACGAGGAGCTTCACGTTTCTGAAAACTTGTCTCACTTCCTGCTCCAGGTGAACATGAACTCACCTGTTTCCTTTACACACTTTTCCCTTTAATCTCACATCTGTTTGTTTATTTGAGACTTTTAAAATCAGATTTGTTTTATTATTTTCCATCCATCCATTTTCTTCCTCTTATCTGGGGTCGGGTCTCGGGGGCAGCAGCCTAAGCAGAGACTCCCAGACTTCCCTCACCCCAGACACTTCCTCCAGCTCCTCCAGTGGGACCTGAGGTGTTCTCAGTCCAGTCCAGAGACATGGTCCCTCCAGTGTGTCCTGGGTCTTCTCCTCCTCTGGTGGGACATGAACACCTCCTGAGGGACACGTCCAGGAGACGTCAGAACAGACGTCCTCCCCTCAGACGCTCCTCTCCACGTGGAGGAGCAGCGGCTCTACTCCGAGCTCCGACCTCTGTCTCTAAGGGAGACGCCCAGACGCCCTGTGGAGGAAACTCATTTCGACGCTTGTATCCGCGATCTCGTCCTTTCGGTCACTACCCAGACTCATGACCAGAGGTGAGAGTAGGAACGAAGACTGACCGATAAATCGAGAGCTTCGCCTTTCGACTCAGCTCCTCTTCACCACAACGACCGATACAGCGACCGCATCACTGCCGAAGCTGCACCTGTCCACCTGTCAATCTCACGCTCCGTCCTCCCCTCACTCGTGAACAAGACCCCGAGATACTTGAACTCCTCCACTTGAGGCAGAGACTCCCACCCACCTGGAGAGGACAAGACACCTTTTTCCGGTCGAGAACCATGGCCTCAGACTTGGAAGAGCTGATCTTCATCCCAGCCGCTTCACACTCGGGTCAAACCGCCCCAGTGCTGCAGGTCCTGGTTCGATGAAGCCAACAGGACAACATCATCCGCAAACAGCAGAGATGAAATCCTGTGGTCCCCAAACCGGATCCTCCGGCCCCTGACTGCGCCTAGAAATTCTGTCCATAAAAACAATGAACAGAACCGGTGACAAAGGGCAGCCCTGGCGGAGTCCAACATGCACCGGGAACAGGTCTGACTTACTGCCGGCAATGAACACAGCTCCTGCTCCGGTCATACAGGGACCGGACAGCCCTTAGCAAAGGGCCCCGGACCCCATACTCCCAGAGCACCCCCACAGGACACCACGAGGGACACGGTCGAATGCCTTCTCCAAGTCCACAAAACACATGTGGACTGGTTGGGCAAACTCCCATGAACCCTCGAGCACCGATGGAGAGTGTAGAGCTGGTCCAGTGTTCCACGGCCAGGACGAAAACCACACTGCTCCTCCTGAATCCGAGGTTCGACTATCGGCCGGATTCTCCTCTCCAGTCCCTGGCATAGACCTTACCGGGAAGGCTGAGGAGTGTGATCCCCCTATAGTTGGAACACACCCTCCGGTCCCCCTTCTTATACAGAGGGACCACCACCCCGGTTTGCCAGTCCAGAGGTACTGTCCCCCGACCACCATGTGATGTTGAAGAGGCGTGTCAGCCAAGACCCACAACATCCAGAGACTTCAGGTACTCAGGACGGATCTCATCCAACCCCGGAGCCTTGCCACCAAGGAGCTTTAACCACCTCAGTGACTTCAGCCAGGGTGATGGATGAGTCCGCCTCCGAGTCTCCAGCCTCGGCCTCCTCCTCGGAGGACGTGACGGTGGGATTGAGGAGATCCTCAAAGTTTTCCTTCCACCGCCGGACAACGTCCCCAGTCGAGGTCAGCAGCTCTCCCCCCGCACTGTAAACAGTGTTGGTGAAGAACTGCTTTCCCCTCCTGAGGCGCCGGACGGTTTGAGAGAATTTCTTTGAGGCCGTCCGATAGTCCTTCTCCATGGCCTCCCCGAACTCCTCCCAGCTCCGAGTTTTTGCCTCCGCGACCACACGGGCTGCAGCACGCTTGGCCCGCCGGTACCCGTCAGCTGCCTCAGGAGTCCCCCGAGCCAGCAAGGCCCGATAGGACTCCTTCTTCAGCTTGACAGCATCCCTTACTTCCGGTGTCCACCACCGGGTTCTGGGGTTGCCGCCCGCGACAGGCACCACAGACCTTACGCCCACAGCTCCGAGCAGCTGCATCGACAATAGAGGCCGAGAATGAAGCCCACTCGGACTCCATATCTCCAGCCTCCCCCGGAATCCAGGAGAAGTCCTCCCGGAGGTGCGAGTTGAAGGTCCCTCTGACAGAGGCTCCGCCAGACGTTCCCAACAGACCCTCACTACACGCTTGGGTCTGCCAGGTCTTTCCGGCTTCCTCCTCCGCCAGCGAACCCAACTCACGACCAGGTGGTGATCAGTTGACAGCTCAGCCCCTCTTCACTCGAGTGTCCAAGACACGCGGCCGGAGGTCAGATGACACGACGACAAAGTCGATCATCGACCTCCGGCCTAGGGTGTCCTGGTGCCACGTGCACTGATGGACCTTGTGCTCGAACATGGTGTTTGTTATGGACAAACTGTGACTAGCACAGAAGTCCAATAACAAAACACCACTCGGGTTCAGATCAGGAGGCCGTTCCTCCCAATCACCCCTCTCCAAGTGTCACTGTCGTTGCCCCACGTGGGCGTTGAAGTCCCCCAGGAGAACAACAGAGTCCCCGGTCGGTGCACTGTCTAGTACCCCTCCCAAGGACTCCAAGAAGGCCGGGTACTCGAGTACTCAGCACTGCTGTTCGGCCCGTAGGCCGACACCACAGTGAGAGACCTGTCCCCGACCCGAAGGCGCAGGGACGCGACCCTCTCGTTCACCGGAGTGAACTCCAACACACAGACTGAACTGTGGGGCAATGAGCCCACACCAGCCCCACCCCCCACCACACCCCCCCACACCAGCCCCACCCACTCCCCCACACACATCTGGTTTATCTGGTTTAGTCCTGGTTTAGACCTGGTTTAGTCCTGGTTTAGTAGACCTGGTTTAGACCTGGTTTAGACCTGGTTTAGTCCTGGTTTAGACCTGGTTTAGTCCTGGTTTAGACCTGGTTTAGACCTGGTTTAGACCTGGTTTAGTCCTGGTTTAGTCCTGGTTTAGTCTGGTTTAGACCTGGTTTAGTCCTGGTTTAGTCCTGGTTTAGACCTGGTTTAGTCCTGGTTTAGACCTGGTTTAGACCTGGTTTTAGTCCTGGTTTAGTCCTGGTTTAGACCTGGTTTTAGACCTGGTTTAGTCCTGGTTTAGTCCTGGTTTAGTCCTGGTTTAGTCCTGGTTTAGACACTTTGGTTTGAAGAATGTTGCAGCGACATCAGTCGAGACTGAAAATATAATTTATTTCCTTTAAACACAAACAGCAGAAGATAAAAATGATCCAAATGTGGAACTACAGAAGAACTTTGTAAAAATACAAGTTTCATATGAGACGTTTGGGCCAATGAAGAATTTTATCACACGCAGAGTAACACTAGTGTGTAACACCCAGTGTGTAACACTAGTGTGTAACACCCAGTGTGTTACACACTAGTGTGTAACACACTGGGTGTTACTCTGTGTGTGATATACTTAGTGTTACACTCAGACCAAATTGATTTATCTTTGAAGCCGATACCTGATCCACCAAAATTTTGGATATCAGTGCCAATATCTGATCCGATACCATACGGGTGCGGCTCCGGCTCGGGCGGGTGGGACCCGGTGGGACCTGGTGGGACCCGGTGGGACCCGGTGTAGTGTTTAGTGTGAACAGAACGTGAAGCGGCGCTTTGAGCCTCGGGGTCGACAGGAAACTGAGTCAAAACAAAGTGTGTGTGTCTTAAAGGCCACGGTGGCTCGGGTCAGAACCGGTGCACGACAGGTTCTGACTCCCTTTTCTTCAGCTCCTCGGTAGCAGTAGGAGCAGAAGTTACTGGTTTCAGGGTGTCCGTAGTAGGGACAGTCCAGTGTCCTGCAGCGGGTGGACAGCCCCCCCGCGCTGCCCACAGAGTAGTGTCTGAGCGGGACGCCGAGCCGCGGGTCCGAGAGCCGCGGGTCCGAGAGCGCGCGCGTCCCGGAAGCCGTCGGCGTAGGGCGGCGCCGGCTCCGAGCGGAGATAGTCCGGCGCGCCGTACTCGGGGGGGTAGGGGGGGGCGAGGCGGGAGGGGCTGGCGGGAGGGTCGTACGGCGGGTGAGGGGGGATCTGCGCCGACGGGCAGTGACGAGGTAAGGTGGCGTAAGACGGCACGCCCAAGTACGAGGCGGGACAGCCCCCGGCCAGCTGACGGCGGCCGTCCACGGCCAGGCGCGCGTGCGGGGGCAGGGGCTCCGGGAGGGGGTCGATGATGGTGGGGCGGGGGATGGGCACCACGGCAGAGTACATGGAGGGGGCGAGGGGAGTGGGCTTAAACGAGGGCTTCTCGGGTTCCTCTTTGTGCTCGTAGGGCTGGTAGCTGAGGTCGGTGGCGCCCAGGACGTCCTTGTTGGGACCGTTGGCGACCGCCTTCCTCTCCGCCTCCCGTTTCTGCTGCTCCTGCTCCGCCCTGAAGCGCTCCTCGGCGTCCAGCAGGTAGCGCTGGATCATCTCCTCTTGGAAGGGCTGGCGGTTGCTGGTGGTGAGGAGACTGGCCAGGATGAACTTGCGCTCGCCCTGCATGGCGGCGCGCAGGATGCCCAGGCTGGTCTTGACGTCGGCGCTGTATTTGTACGGGTCGGTCTCGGTGCTGCTGCCGCCGCTGCTGCCGCCGCTGTGCCCGGGCTGCCGCTCGCCACCCGACTCCTCTGAGGTTTGGGCCGACTGACTGTCCTTACTGTCCTTCCTGCTTCTGAAGGAGCCCTTCTTCTTTTCGGCGGCGGCGGCGTCGCCCTTGGGGCCCGTGGTTCCGGGGTTCTTCCCGGTCATCAGACCCCCCACGTTCTTCTTCAGTTTGCTCCCCAGACTCTTGCCGAAGCTGCCCAGTTTGTTGGCCACGGAGTCGGCCCTCTTCTTGTCCTTGTCGGCCTTGTCCTTGCGGCTCTTGTCTTTGGAGACGGTGGACGTCTTGGCGTCCGTGGCGCCGTTGGACGTGGCGCCGTTGGACGTGCTGCTGACCGACTCTTTGTCAGACTCGGAGTCGGGGGGCGAGCGCGGGTCGTCTCCCGCCGACGCCGTGGGCGACTCGGGCTGAGCCAGAGGAGCCTGCTGCAGGAACAGAACAGACAGGTGAAACAGCTGCACCTGTCAGAGGGACCTGCCAGAGGGACCTGTCTGGGGGACCTGCCTGTGGGACCTGTCAGAGGGACCTGCCTGGGGGACCTGCCTGTGGGACCTGCCTGTGGGACCTGTCAGAGGGACCTGCCTGGGGGACCTGTCTGGGGGACCTGCCTGGGACCTGTCTGTGGGACCTGCCTGTGGGACCTGCCTGTGGGACCTGTCTGGGGGACCTGCCTGTGGGACCTGTCAGAGGGACCTGCCTGGGGGACCTGCCTGTGGGACCTGCCTGTGGGACCTGTCAGAGGGACCTGCCTGGGGGGCAGGGGCTCTTACCTCGCAGGGCAGGGGGAGCCAGGCGACCGTCATGTAACTGTGCAGCAGATTCAACTTCGCCTCCAGAGACAAAGTCACACTGTGAACACACAAATATACACCTGAGGGTCATACACACACAGGACCATACACATACACCTGAGGGTCATACACACACACCTGAGGGTCATACACACACACCTGAGGGTCATACACACACATACACACACACCTGAGGGTCATACACACACAGGACCATACACACACACCTGAGGGTCATACACACACACCTGAGGGTCATACACACACACCTGAGGGTCATACACACACAGGACCATACACACACACCTGAGGGTCATACACACACAGGACCATACACACACACCCGAGGGTCATACACACACAGGACCATACACACACACCCGAGGGTCATACACACACAGGACCATACACACACACCTGAGGGTCATACACACACAGGACCATACACACACACCTGAGGGTCATACACACACGGGACCATACACACACACCTGAGGGTCATACACACACGGGACCATACACACACACCCGAGGGTCATACACACACGGGACCATACACATACACCCGAGGGTCATACACACACGGGACCATACACACACACCCGAGGGTCATACACACACGGGACCATACACACACACTTGAGGGTCATACACACACAGGACCATACACACACACCTGAGGGTCATACACACACAGGACCATACACTCACACCTGAGGGTCATACACACACAGGACCATACACACACACCTGAGGGTCATACACACACAGGACCATACACATACACCCGAGGGTCACACACACACAGGACCATACACACACACAGGACCAAACACACACACAGGACCATACACATACACCTGAGGGTCATACACACACACAGGACCATACACACACCTGAGGGTCATACACACACAGGACCATACACACACACCTGAGGGTCATACACACACAGGACCATACACACACACCTGAGGGTCATACACACACAGGACCATACACATACACCTGAGGGTCATACACACACAGGACCATACACACACACAGGACCATACACACACACAGGACCAAACACACACACAGGACCATACACATACACCTGAGGGTCATACACACACAGGACCATACACACACACTTGAGGGTCATACACACACACAGGACCATACACATACACCTGAGGGTCATACACACACACAGGACCATACACACACACCTGAAGGTCATACACACACACAGGGACCATACACACACACAGGACTATACACACACACAGGACCATACACACACACACAGGGACCATACACATACACCCGAGGGTCATACACACACACAGGACCATACACACACACCTGAGGGTCATATACACACACAGGACCATACACACACACCTGAGAGTCATACACACACACCTGAGGGTCATACACACACACCTGAAGATCATACACACACACAGGGACCATACACACACACAGGACCATACACACACACCTGAGGGTCATACACATACACAGGACCATACACATACACCTGAAGATCATACACACACAGAGAGGGACCATACACACACAGAGGACTATACACACACACACACACACACAGGGACCATACACACACCTGAGGGTCATACACACAGGGACCATACACATACACCTGAGGATCATACACACACACGACCATACACACACAGAGGACCATACACATACAGAGAGACCATACACACACACACACAGGACCATACACATACACAGGGACCATACACACACACAGAGGACTATACATACACACACAGAGGACCATACACATACAGAGGGACCATACACACACAGAGGATCAAACACATACAGAGGGACCATACACACACACAGAGGACCATACACATACAGAGAGACCATACACACACACAGAGGACCACACACACAGGACCATACACATACAGAGGGATCATACACACACACAGGAACCATACACACACAGAGGACCATACACACACAGAGGGACCATACACACACAGAGGATCAAACACATACAGAGGGACCATACACACACACAGAGGACCATACACATACAGAGAGACCATACACACACACAGAGGACCACACACACAGGACCATACACATACAGAGGGACCATACACACACACAGGGACCATACACATACACAGAGGGAGCACGCTCACACACAGAGGGACCATGCACACACACAGAGGGACCACGCACACACACAGAGGACCATACACACAGAGGGACCATACACACACACAGAGGGACCACGCACACACACAGGGGCCATACACACACACAGAGGGAGCACGCTCACACACAGAGGGACCACGCACACACTCACAGAGGACCATACACACAGAGGGAGCACCTGGCCAGCATGACGTTGTCGGTGTCGTCTTTGCCCCACTCCCAGTCTTTCCCGGGGTCGACGGCGAAGTGCAGAGGTAACAGTTTGTGCTCAGAGTCTGTCAGAGGGATGACCACTGCACACACACCCCGACACACACACACACACACCCCGACACACACACACACAGACACACCCCGACACACACACCCCGACACACACACACACACACACCCCGACACACACACACACCCCGACACACACACACACACACACACCCCGACACACACATACACAGACACACCCCACACACACACCCCGACACACACACACACACCCGACACACATACCCCACACACACACACACACACACCCCGACACACACAGACACACACACACCCGACACACACACCCCAACACACACACACCCCGACACACACAGACACACACACACCCACCCCGACACACACACACACACCCCGACACACACACACCCCGACACACACACAGACCCCGACACACACACACACACCCGACACACACAGACACACACACACCCCGACACACACACACACACACCCGACACACACACACACACCCGACACACACACGCACACACCCCGACACACACACACACACAAAAGATCAGTTAGTTTTATTAAAGTTAAGATGTGGGTTGTGATGTGGTGGGTGATGTGGGTGATGCAGGCGGTGACGTGGGTGATGTGGGTGACGCGGGCGGTGACGCAGGCGATGACGTGGGTGATGATGTGGGTGACATGGGCGGTGATGTGGGTGATGTGGGTGATGATGTGGGTGACGTGGGCGGTGACGTGGGTGATGTGAGGGGTGATGTGGGTGACGCCGGCGGTGATGCGGGGAGTGATGTGGGTGACGTTGGTGACGTGGGCGGTGACGCGGCGTACCCTGCTCTTTGGCGCCCTCTTTCTGCTCCATGGACACGAGGGCGGAGAAGTGGGCCTGGTCGTACGCCAGCACCAGGGGCGAGCGGTGGCACTTGGGGGCGGGCACCTCCAGGGGCAGGTAGATGCCCCCGAACGGGATGGGGGCAAAGGCTGAGGGCAAAAACACAAAAACACAATCACAGGTCAGTGTCTTTACAACAAAGTACGTACAGGAAATCTGTGAGTCGTCTCAGATTTGGCTGAAAAAATGTCTAAAAATTTCTAAAATGACCAAATGAAAGAATCTAAAATTTTCACTCAGTCCCTTGAGTCGTTCCTGTGTTTTGGTCCGTTGAAATTTTGGGGCCATGTTCACTTTTTCTGAAGTCTTAATTTATAAACATGTTTGAGACCAGAACTTTATAAAAACAGAGTGAGGAACATTTGTACATTTGTTTTATTGTAGATCAGAGGTGCTCAATACGTCGATCTTGATCTACCAGTCGATCACCAAGGTCGTGTGGGTAGATCGTCGTGTCTCGTCTCGGACTCGATCGTGTTTGGACTCGGTCTTGTCTCTCACTCGAGGTGTGACACTCAACAAGTGTGATCATATTTCATTCCGGCCGCTGCTGTTGGTAATAAACTTGTAGCGGGTGCAGGAGCGTGTGGGGCGTCTCAGTTGCAGCCTGTGCGCTCATTTGAAACCCG